TTTGTAATACATGTATCTACAGTATATTGGAGAGGGAAATGGCAACCCACTCCAGTATTCTTGCTTGGAGAATCCCATGGACAGAGAAGCCTGGCAGGCTATAGTCCACGGGGTTGCAAAGAGTTGGACATGTTGAGTGACTGACACACTCACAGACAGTATATAAATCATGGCTACAAATCAACAGGAAAAGATAACTCAGTAATAAAATAGGCAAAAATACTGAACAACATTTCACAAGAGAGACTGTCCAAATGGGAATACCATATGGAAAGAGCTCAGCATCCTTAGTCATCAGGGAAATCAAAACCATACTGAGATATCACAACACATCCACCAATGGCTGTAACTGAAAAGACAGACTATCCAACTGTTCATGAGGATGTGAAGAAATTAAAACTCTCACACATTGCTGAATGGAGTATATACTGGTACAACCACCTTGTATAGCTTTTTGGCAGTATCCACTGAAGCTAAACATAATGTCTCCACATCGATCCAGCTATTCCACTACTAGGTATTTACCCAATAAAAATGAGACCACACAGGGGACTTCCCTGGCAGTCCAGTGGTTAAGACTCTGAACTTTCAATTCAGGGGGCACAGGTTTGATCCCTGGTTGGGTAACCGAGTTCTGGCATACTGCACTGCATGGCCAAAAAAGATAGATAACTAAATAAAATTAAAAAATGGTCTTATAAAAAGAAAAAAGAGGTATATGCTAGAGTAACAATTTAATAAAATAATTATTCATTTAAAATTAATAATTAAAAAATGAGAGCATACATCTGCCAAAAGAAATATATAATAACATTCATGGTATCTTTATTCATAGTGATATCAAACAGTAAGCAAATCAAAACATCCATCCACAGTAAAATGGATGATCCAACTAGTCTATGCAGTGAGAATACTGCATACTCCATACACACATGACCTTTGAACACATGGGTTTGAAGAGCATGGGTCCACTTATTCACAGATACTTTTCAATTGTAAATACCACAGTACTATAACCCATGGTTGGTTGAATCTACAGATTGGAACCGTGGATATGGAACGGCAGATACAAAGGGCTCGCTGCAAAGCTACACATGACTTTTTGGCTGCAGAGAGGGTAGGCACCTCTAGTCCCAGTGCTGAACTCTATGCTTGTTGTGCCTTGTGAAGATCGCTCAGTCGTATCCGACTCTTTGCGATCCCATGGACTGTAGCCTGCCAGGCTCCCCTGTCCATGGAATTCTCCAGGCAAGAATACTGGAATGGGGTGCCATTCCCTCTTCCAGGGGATCTTCATAACCCAGGGATCGAACTCAGGTCTCCTGCATTGCAGGCAGATTATTTACCGTTTGAGCCAGCATGCTTATTAGACCTTCATTAAAAACACCAACTCACCAAACAAGAACCCACCCCACGGGTGTATGCATTTCTCTTCTGCTACTGCATCCTTAATTTTTTATAAGCACCGAACTTACAGAATACATATCTTTGTCCAGGAGATCAATCTTTTCAATTTATATTCCATCCATCTACAAATCAATGATATATTAATAATCTGTTTTAAAAAGGCAAGCCACAGAGCAAGAGAAGGTATTTGTACATATATACAGATATAGACCCCACAACAGGACAAAACTCTGTAAAGCTATTAGAAGAATACAAGAGACCAGTGGGCAAAAGGCTTCTCATCTTATACTTCTCTGTATACTTCCAGTTTTCCTGAAACTATGATACACTACTTGTATCTTTTTAATTAACTTTTAGTCAATGATAATACAGGAATATATATTCCTTATAAAAAATTCAACATTCCAGATACAGCAAATGTCTCTGTTGATCTCTAATCCTAGCTCCCTCTCTAATACCTAGAGAAAAATGACTGAACTATTTAGGATGATTTTCCCAGATGTTTCCCCCCAAAGCAGGGTTATTTTGTGGCTTTGTTTGTACGGCATAATGTATGTCTTATCATGGAACTCACTCTCTTTCTACTCATTTTTATGTCTTTCACTATTTTCTATATTGTATGTGCAAAGACACCTTCATGCTTTATTCTTTTTGACTGTTACACAGTTCTCCACAGGACGGACATTCCAGTTTAAATGCCTTTCCTCTACAGACATAGATAATCTCCTTCCTCCCTTCCTCCTCCTTTCTTTCTTTTTTTCCTGTTAGTCCTCCTATTTAATAAGAATAATCAATATGTCATTTAAATATTTATTCTGGCTTCATAAATTAAGTTCCCAAAAGCTCCTGCCTCATTCTAATCTCAGAAAGCACTGTCTTATCTTGGGGATTTCCCCAGCTGTCTAAGTAGAAAGTAGAGCTCACAGCTTCCCAGGCAGCTCATGGGATCTTAGTTCCCACTAGGGGTTGAGTCTGTGTCCTCAAAGTGGAAGCGCGAAGGGTCCTAACCACTGGACCACCAGGGAAGCCCCAAGCCCTGACTGTTGCTATGTCTCCTCCCCACTCACATTCCCCTAAGGACGACGATCAATACTGGAAACCCACGCTTCTGTTCTTTCACCTCTGCTACTGATGTGCTGTGTGACTTCAGGTGAGTTGCACCCTCTCTGATTCTCCTTTCCTAATTATGCATAGAGGAGCTTGGGCCATATAAACTGCTGGGGTCTCTCTTAGCTCTGAAGGCCTTTGCTGTGAGTGTTCTGTTGGCCACAGTGGTATCTGCAACTGACCGCGCAGGCAGGGATGCCTGAGACAGGATTTCCTTTCCTCATGGCCCGGTCCACAGTCTGCCTCTTGAGGGTCTGTATGGGGGAAGTTAACTGATGCTCCTCACGCAGAACAGTGCTCATGAGAGACACTGGGAACTGGGGCCTCAGGGACCTGCGCTCCCCCACCTGCGTGTCTCTTCATCTTCCTGAGGCCTTGAGTGGGTTCTCCTGTGTGTCTTATCCTTGTGACGCCTGACGGCTATGCTGCCATAGCAACCAGGCCCGCTGAGCCATGTTTAAAAACCAGTTTCCATGAAGAGGAACACTTAGTCCATTTCGAGGGGAACAGAGAGGCTATTACTCCCCATGAAATAGACTGTGTTTCAGAGACTGTCAGGCGGGCAGGGTCTGAGAGAAGAGCTGATCCAGATCCCTGGCTGCAGAGATGAGGCACTGAGGTGTGGACGGGGCCGGCTCGCTGCAGCTCACACGTCCAGAGGAGGATCCCTCTCGGGCTCTCGTTCTGAGCTCGTGCTCTCATTGTTTCCTTGCCGCCTCTACCTTCACTTCACCTCCTTCCAAATTCCTCCTCCTTCTGCCCCTCCCTCTATGCCTCCAAGACGACGCTGCCAAACTAGACAACTGCAAATAGCCTGGCCCCTCACTCACCTTCTGGCTGCTTCTTCTCCAAACAGCGAAAGGGCCTTTAAAAAAATAAATCAGAATCCACCCCCCACCAACTACTCACAGCATCCCAAGGCTTCCCGAGGCGCCCCCTTGGCCCAGGACTGAGGCCCGGGCCTCTCCCACCTCAGCCTCAAACTGATCCACTCTGCTTTTTCATACCAGCTCACTCCAGGGTTCTCAGCATTTCTCAGAGACCTCATCCTGTCCAAAAACAGCACATGTTTCCCAGCACCTGCGACTCTCGAGCTATTCTGTTTCCATGTTTATTCTTTCACAGCACCTGCCATCTGCACTCATGTCTCTGGTTGTTTACTGATTCTATCGTCACCCTCTCTGGAATAAAAATGGTAATTATTTGTCTGTCTTATTCACGGCCACTGACCTGCCACTTAGGGATGCACCTGGCATGAGCAGGTTCTCAATACCTTTCTGCTGAATGTGTGTGTGGACAGAGGATGGCAGGAATGGATGCTGAAAGATGTTCCTGTTGCATCCTGAGGACATGCCTTTCCTTCCACAGCACTGGCTCTGCCTATTACCCTGTGCCTAGAGGGCCAGGCCCACCTGTGGACACCTTACGGGACCAGAGCCGAGTGGAGAGTGCTGGGAGGGTGTGGAGAACACAGCCTCCATGAGCAAGCCATGAACAAGTTCTGTATGGCCCCCAAGATGCAGAAACACAGGGACTCATGTTTTTGTCCATTAGCATAATTTAAACCAATTATTTACCAATTATTTAGCTCTTACTTTACATGTCTTGGGTCTCCCCTTGTGGCTCAGCTGGTAAAGAATCCGCCTGCAACGCAGGAGACCTGGGTTTGATCCTTGGGTTTGGAAGAGTCCACGGAGAAGGGAAAGGCTACCCATACCCACTCCAGTATTCTGGCCTGGAGAATTCCATGGACTTATAGTCCATGAGGTCGCAAAGAGTTGGACACGACTGAGCAACTTTCACTTTCATGTCTTACCTCCTTTTAGCCTCTAAACTGCCTTGCAGGGTTAGAATCCCTGTCTTCCATGACAAAAAAACGACGAAAGCACTCTGTGCTCTCCCCTCAGCCTGGAACAGCTGTCCCTGATTCTCCACGAGGCCAATTCCTGATCAGTTTTCAGGTCCCCTCCTCAGGGAGGTCCTCCCCCGCCCTCAAGACCACACCAGGTTCTGTATACCCTCCAGACCTGGCAATCGCCCCTCACAGCACTTGTTCTGACAGTAAACACATCGTTTCCTTGTAGACACTCTTCAGGGCAGGTCTCCTCTCCACCACCCGGGACACTGCACTGCATCCCCCAGCGCGGGGCCTGGCCTGTGGTCGCCAGGAGTTATCTTATGTCTGACGAGCGAATGGAAACCCAGACTTTGACAGACTTTGAGGCCCTGCTGCTAGAGGAAGGGGGGCGGGGGCGGGAGGGGGAAGGCCAGGCCCCTCTGACTCCAGGACCGGCTTCTCCCAGGATCTGAGTGTCAGAGAGGTCTGAATGGAATGGAGAGAAGCGCCTGCCCGCCCTGGAAGAGCACACAGCTGAGCGGCAGGGCTCCCAGGTGGGATGCACTGGAGGGGCCTCTGGCATCTGTTGGGGTTGGGGGGAACTCTTCCAGCCTGGAGACACGCCAATTCCTTGGGGCTCAGGACTCACCAGAGCTTGCTCGATAAGCAAGCAGAACAGGATGGCATTGCCCACCTCCCTCAGGCTCTGGAACACGTCGGTCTTGAGCTCTGCGTATTCGATGATGTCCTTCAGTTGGTGGTGAAAGAACTCCAGGATCCCTGGGAGGTGCAGGGGAAGGGTGAGTGGGAGGGTCATGCTAAGCACTGTATCTGCAATAGCTCATGTAACATTCATAAAAACACCCTGGACCAGGCACTGTGACCCCTCTTTTCAGACGAGGCTCAGAGAGGGTAAGTGATCACACAGCCAATAAGCGGGGCAGCCGGGAATGAAAACTAGAGCCATCAGCCCCAGCCCTTTCCTGCTCTGACTCACACTGACCCAGCACCTGACATCTTGGTATTTAGGAAAAACAGCTGGTACCAACTCATAGTCTCCACCCTTCCCCATCCTCCAGGCTCCAAATTCATTCCAGGTGCCATCACTATCAGGGAAGGGAAGGCTGACTGACTTCTCTGCCCAGAGATTGAGTGGTGAAAACTCCTATTTCCTGACTTACCTTAGAAATGCCACGTTACACCACGCCTGGGGCATCAGTCTCCTCCAAATAGGCACATGGAGGAAGGAATGTGTATGTGCTGAGCGAAGGAAGATCTTTACAACTAAACCTCGATGCTCACAACCTAACGGGTCTCACATTTGTGGACCTCTTCCAGCCTCCGGGCAGTGCTGTGAAGCAGGCCCAGTGGGCACCACTTCTGTTCACTGATGGAAGACGATACTGTTGCTCAGGGGGATTAAAAATGGTCCAGGGCAATTTAGTGGCAGAGAGAGGGTGCAAACCCAGTGTTGTGACAGCCTGCTGCCATGTCAGAGAAGCAAATACTTCAAGGTAGATTGCCGGCGCCCCCTTCCACTGTGCGATGGGTCTGGATTATTTTCCTATCACCACACCCCGCTCCTGGTTCCCCATCACCCACCTGGGGAGCCATACTCATGCCGGGGCAGGCGGCATATCTTGGGCATGACCTCGATCAGCGTTTTCACATACTGGAGGATGGTCCCTTGGAGCTGAAAAAGGAAGAGTATAAGATGAGTGAGTAATCCACGGCTGCGGCATATGAGTGTCTCAGGGCCAAATGGTGGGCCAGTGGGGGTATACAGGGGTTCAGCTGAGACCTGTGGGTAAGTTCTATGGATTGAATATCTGTTCTCCCCCGAATACATATGTTGAAACCCTGATCCCCAGTATGGTTGTATTTGGAGATGGGGCCTTGGGAAGGAATTAGGTGACGAGGGAGGAGCCCTCATGAAGGGATTAATGCCTTAAAAGAAGAGAGGATGGGGAGCAAGAGGAAGACACTCTCTGCCATGTGAGGACACAGTGAGAAGGCAGCTGTCTGTGAAGGAGGAGGATGGTCCTCACATGCTGGCTCTGTGCTCTGGGACTTCCAATCTTCAGAACCTTGAGCAATAAACATCTGTCACTGAAGCCACCCAGTCTATGGTGTATGTGTCAATGTATGTATCATAGCATCCCAAGCTGTCTAAGACAGTGGGGCACTGCTCCCTAAGAGGACCAGCAGGATCTCTCCTAAGGGAGTGGGCCAGCCCCATCGCCCTTTGTAAGGGAACGTGGGCCTTTATAAGACAGAAATGGGGACACTCTCATTATTCCCTTGGGCTCACAGACTTCAAGGGGGGGGGCAATTTCTAGGCATGGGGTCCTTCCTGGGGTTGGGGCACTTACATGAGAGCTAAACTAAGAGCTAAGATGAAATGGGACCAGGGAACTATGAAGATTGACACATCATCTAATTTATGCACAGAAAATTCATGGTTCATTCATCCCTCCCATGTCTGTCACAGACACCTTTAATCAATTACCATATTTTCTTCTTTAAATTTAGCTTCACAACCTAGAACAACCCCTCATTATAACAGTTGCTACCAGAGGACTAAAGTTAGCAGACTAATTCTGCTTGCTATTCCTGACATAGATATGCTTTACTTTATTTCTTTCATCATCTCAAACTTTCAAGAAAATCTTATTTAAATGTTTAAGCCTTGCTGCAGCAGTATCCTGGTTAAGTGAACGCTCATATGACCATACTTAACGTGGATACAGAATGACGGAAAAGGGATACACAGTTCCAGGCCAGTATCAGTGTTCAGCAAGGAATCCCAAGGGGAAGAAGCATGGTAACTGATTAGTGATATCTGCCAAGGGTGTGGGTGGAAAAAATGGCAGCACATGTGTCATGGATTTGTCATGCTCAAATAAGATAATGCAGCACAGGAGGTGGGTATGAGCAGTCATTGCGTGCATGATGCATGCTAAGTCACTTCAGTCCCGCCCGACTCTTGGTGACCCCATGGACTGTTGCCCACCAGGCTCCTCTGTCCATGGAATTCTCTAGGCAAGAATACTGGAGTGGGTTGCCATACCCTCCTCCAGGGCATCTTCCCCACCCAGGGATTGAGCCTGCATCTCTTATGTCTCCTGCATTGGCAGGAGGATTCTTTACCACTAGTGCCAGTAGGCCTTAAAGTCAAAGTCCAGATTGCTGAATTCAGTTAGCAAGTTCTAGAAGTGAGCTCAGCATCAGAAAAGGAGAGGCAAAAAACCGCACATCAGAAAATGCATGAAATGTTACAGGAGGATAGGTGAGAGGAATCAGGGGAAAAGGGCAAAGCATTCCCTGGGTGATTCCTACAGACAGAGCTGAAGAGCCTGTTGCTGGATTTTTCAGGCCAGGTAAAAAGTAAAAGCAGGCCTCATTGCTCCCCACTGGGCCCCTCCCAGGGCCCCTTCCTCACCAAGCTTTTGACGATCTTCAGCAGTTCCTCCATGACCACAGCAATGCCCTGGTAACCGAGGAGTCTGCAGATGGTCTTGAAATGCGGGGGCCCCACAAAGTTCCTGTAGGAACTGTAGATGTGGCTGTAGGCGATGTTGAGAGGCTGGAAAACAGAGGATGTGGCCAAGTCAGAGGCAGAGAACTGAATGCACATATGTGAGTCCTAGCAGGAGGGGTTTCAATCACAGAAGGATAGAAGTTTGACGTCCTTGTTCTCTCACTGGGAAACCCCTATGAATACATTTTGCAAGATGCTAATAGAGAGTGGTGGTCAGTGACCACACGATGGAGCATCTCCTGGGGCAGCAGTTCCCTAACAAGACAGGAGAAAGGGCCTCCAGGCAAATATCTTTTTATAAAACAGGACTCATGCTACACTTGACTGTCCACACACAAACCAGGACTTTCACTCTTGAGCCATGAGGCGAGGGTAAAACAAATGCCTTTCTTTCTCTAGGGGCATTTTTAGTGCTAGGAATTGGCTGGAAGAACCTTGGTGAAACCTCAATAGCTGATTCATCGTTGCCTTCTTTCTACTTCGACATGTCTTCATCTGTCACAGGGTGCGGTCTTAAGAACCAAGAAGTCTCGGGGGCAGGAGACCTCTGCCGACCACGTGGGAAAACCATACAGGAATTTTGAGCCTCAGTTTCTTCATCTATGAAATGAGTGGGTTGAACTAGAACATTGGTTTTGAAGCTTTTCGAGTAGCAATAAAAAAAAAAAAGATGTCACAAAAATAAGTACAGGAAACAGACAAAAGCTGAGAAGTTCTGATTGGGTGTTAGTTGAGGGCCCAGAACCCTGACCACTGAAGGGCCATCTCCACTGTCCTCTGGACTTCATGAGATGCTGTTGCTGAATTAGTGGAATCTTTTTAAGGTCTTTCTGTCTGAGAACACAGGACCAAAATAAAGGGCTCTGAGTTGGTCTCACTTAGCAAGGTGAGATACTGAAGTTATCATTGACTCTGTTTTGAAATGCTGCCACTTATGGAGCACCTCATGCCAGGCTTCATGAAGCCCTCCAAGTGCATTTTCAATTAATTCACACAACCCATGTATGTCATCTGTGATCTGTACAATTCTAGGCCCCATTTCACAGATGAGGGAACTGAGGCTCAGGGTGGTTAAGTAGCTTGCTCAAGGTCACACAGTTCATAGGTAACTGGGCCCTGATCTGAACCCAGGTGGTTATGATCCCAAAGCCCATGTTTTTAACCTCTGCCTACAAAGGTGAACTTTGGAAGCAGAATTATTACATAAACCCTAAACTTTTTTTTTTTAAGAAAAAAACTTCACTTCTAACCTTAGTTTTGAGTACAGTTCTCCTATCTGGAATTGTATAACTCTTGTATACACAGCATGCAAATATGTAAAGATCACATCTGATAATCTATTAGCTGGCTAATTAGAAATCCTACGTGAATTAAAAAGGAACTGTGATGGTGCTTCTGGAGTTCTGCAAGATTCTCAGCTCCGTCTGGAGCCATCAGGGAAGATTCGATTATGTTCAGCCTAGGTTTTGCATCAAGTATGTTTTACTATATTGTAAACTTCACAAACAAGCATCACAATCATGGTGCCCTCTAATAAGAAGGATACATGAGGAACACAATTAGAGAGTCCACTGATAACAAGAATTCATGAGGAATCACAAGCCCACTCATCCAGCAGACTGAATAACAGTTCTCTTGCTAAGTTAATGACTATACATGGAGAGGCTTGGAGTTTGAGAGTGGAGAAGGAAATGGCAACCCACTCCAATATCCTTGCCTGGAAAACCCCATGGACAGAGGAGTCTGGTGGAGTCAGACATGACTTAGTGACTGAGCATGCACACGCAGAGTGTAAGAAAACAGCGTTCTGCATGCAACACTGGTGTGTTGTCATAGTAAAACTCTGCCTGAGCCTGGAGGAGGGACACCTTGTAGGTAGTTACTAAAGATTTCTAAACGGGGTAGGGCAGGAGCAGTTTATGTGGGGAGGGAAAATATAACTGATTAGAAGCATGATGTTCACAGAGGCTGATGATTAGCAAATCCTGGAGTATATGAATTGTTGAGTTTGATATAGTCAACCATGGAGCCAGGCCATATAACTTTCTGTGTGTGGAGCAAACCATTTTAGTGTCTCTGTAATAGGCCACCCTGCCAAACAGGCAGGGACCAGAGAGGGGAGTGAGGCACCAGGGCACACGTGGCAGAAGGTACTCCCCCCCGCAAGTGAGCGCATCTCAGCTCTGGCTCTGTAATCAAAGCCCACTCCATAGTCTCCTGCTCCCTCTCCAGGGATGAGAGGGGGGAAAAACAGCAGACACACCATGGCCTCCCTCTGGTGGTGGGAGGACAGAACTTTCTAGATGATGGAAATGTCCCACATGTTGACTGGATTTTTGACTACACACATGTATATGCTTGTCAAAACTCACAAAACTATATGTACACATGATCTGTGCATGTTATTGACTAAATGGTTGTGCCCTCACCCCCCAATTTTTTTGTTGAAATCTTAATCCCTATTGTGATGGTATGAGGAGGTGGGACTTTGGGGAGGTAATTAAGTCATGAGGGTGGTGTCCTCATCAATGGGGTTAGTGCCTTGGAAGGAAGACATGTGAAAATGTTCTCTCCCTTTCCCTCTCCCCCTCCCCTTCCTCTCTCTCTTTTTCCCTCCCCACCTGCACCTCCCCTCTCTTCTCCACATGTACTAGGAGAAGAAGGCTATCTGCAAACCAGCAAGTGGGCTCTCATTAGACACGGAATCTGCCAGCACCTTGATCCTGGGCTCCCCAGCCTCTAGAACTGTGAGAAATCTTTGCTGTCTAAGCCACCCAGTTACTGTATTCTTGTTACAGCAGCCTAAACAAAGACAGTGCATTTTATTGCTTATGATTATATCTTAATAACAAAAGTAAATTAAAAAGCCCACTGGGGTACATCATAGTCTAATTCACTTCCCAACATTTGCTTTCAAAGATTAAAAAACAAAAACCTGATTTGAGTTTCCTCCCAAAGAGGCTGCAGCTTGAGCCCACACGGGCTCAGGAGAGGGATGGCTAGGCTGTACTTCACAGTCCGAGGGGTACTGCATGGACCCATCCCATGGGGAGCTTCCTCCTCACCCTCCCCACCTGGAGCTGGGACTCTCCTCTGAACCCAGTGAAGCTCTGAGCATATTCAGTGTCTTTTCAAATATCCTGTGAAGGGAATTTTTGAACAGCATGGAACTTTCAAATGGATATTCCTAGAGGGAACAGAAAGCAATCAGCTACTTTCTTCCCCTGTATGATTCTCTGATTTCTTTTCTTGCTTTGTCTGAGTCCAGAGTTATTTACTGGGGTGAGCACACCTGAGTTCAAATTCCAGTTCCATAAATTTATTAGCCAGATGATCCTGAGCAAATTATTTAAACTCTCTTAGCCTTGGTAGCACAGATGGTATAGAATCTGCCTGCAACACAGAAGACCCGGGTTCGATCCCAGGGTCAGGAAGATCCCCTGGAGGAGGATGTGGCAACCCACTCCAGTATTCTTGTCTGGAGTATCCCATGGACAGAGGAGCCTGGTGGGCTACAGTCCATGCGTTTGCAAAGAGTCAGACATGACTGAGCAACTAACATGTTCACTGTTTTTTCACTCCCTAAGTAAAGATAATAATACCAACTCTGGGAGGATTGTACAAGATTTAAATGAGGTGACATACACAGGCACGCTGGAAACACTGGCTGAAATAACAGCCCTTCATATTCCTTCCCTTTGGTAATTGGAAAGTAAAAACTAAGAAAATACAGCTTCCTGATCAAATTTCTCCCAGAGGCTTTGGCTATAGTCACGATTCTCTGAACCTGGAGAGTATATCTATGGGGTAAAATTTTGAACAACACAGTGTATATCCTACATGGGGACAGATGTGACAGGGGGCAGAGTTGATACCAGCTGATGGAAGATGCCAAAAGAAATGGAGATTTTGCTCAATATCTGGAACATTATAAAAATAGGAGCTGTCCAACAACAAACTGCACTGAGTGGAGACTGAGTCATGTGACACAGGGATGTTGGAAGGTCGCTCTGCAGGGGACAGAGGGTGGGAGCAGATGTGCTATTAACTCCCCTCCACAGGTGCAAGCTCCACTGTGGCCTTCCTTCTGCTCATCCTTCTCAGCAGCCTCCTTAGCTGCCACACCCACCCAAGGAGCTTCTAATACAAGTTTCCCTTGGCACTTCCTGGCAAGCACAAATAAAAATGTAGTTGGGTAGATGGAAACTCTTTAGCAGCTCTCACCAGAGTTCTAAGCAGAGAAGAATAATTTTGGAATTGTTTAATCACACACAGGGCTAAAAAAACAAAATCCCCCTTACAAACCCACACACAGGAGGCCTCTTGCTGACATTCCTCTATTACTCTTGGATTCTGGATTCTGGTCTGGACCATTCAGACCTCAGTTGGTGGCCCAAGCTCAGGAAGGACCAGCATGAAATGAGCAGAATTCAAATCCTCCTTCTAAGTGAACAAGCTCCCCTCATTCCCCAACCGCCGCCCCCCACCCCCAACACACCACACCCATGCAGGAGGAAACACACACGCATGCTGGAAAGTACATGCACACACCCCCACAGGGCACCCATCTGACCTGCTGGTTCAGGAGGAGGCTGGGCCCTATTGAGAAAATGTGGGAATATGGGAGCCGGGGCATTTTCTGAGGTTTGGCAAGGAAAAACAGGAATGCAACGTGACTTGAGACGTTGGAAACTTGCTACAGATCTCTCATATAGAACCAATCCTGCTAACTGACTTGGGCTACAATCAATGCCTGCATTTAGAGACTAATTATGTCCCTTGTTTAGGATGTCTTGCTTAAAATTAAGCTTGGTTAAAACCATCTTGCTCAGAATAGATACCTTTATGAGATCTCAAGAAATAATCCTGATTCAGGAATTGGAACCATAATATCAATGTGTGACATAGATGCATATTTGTTTAAAAGTGAAATAGCATTTTAAGGAGAGAAAAAAAAGCTCAGTTGATCTGGCAGATTCTGGGCACTGTAATATTCTCTATAAGTGGAGTTTTTTAAAAAATGTGATAAAATATTCAAAACATAA